TGAGAAACAAAGGAAACGTATTGGAAATATTGGGAAAGAAAGTTTTTGGCCTTCTACTCCTCCATCTCGATACAAAAAATGTGTGAAACTTCTGAAGAGACGAAGGAAGGAATCAATTTCAAAAAAATTAACTCTGTATAAACTCTATACGTAACAGTTATTTTCATATGAACATTCGATTAGGGGAAAGAAAAATGCTTTCGAAACAAATACTTTCACATGAACGCTGAATTATACGAAAAACACTTTTCCCATTCCTTTTGTATTCAAAACATTCGTATGGAATCTATTCAGATATTATTCACATAATTTCTACACAATATAATTGATGAAATAAGTGAAATCTCATTTACATAAAACACTGTCATGCTCACTGCTATACATACGATATTTCGCCATAAGAGACTTGCCTTATCGGCCCTTCAGTAGCGAAAACAGATAACATTTTAAGAAAAAACACTCAATTCCTTCATAATCACAACTTTTTGTCATAGATTGGATTTAATCCACCTATGTCATCGATAACAGTACGTAAATAACATTCATTCGTTTATTTGATTAAATCCCAGCCATAGGAATCGTACTTATGATGCACTGTTTGGATTCTTTGGTGTAGTAATGAATATTACTGGTGTTTTTTTTTCCCAACACTAAATCGTTATTTTTAACACCTTGACACGTGTTTCGATGACCAAGTGATCATCTTCAAACAGAAGATTAAAACTAGAAACAAATGCGAGCCAACCTATTTATGCTATATAGGTATTCCATACAGGTAAATCATCCAGGCGTACCGCCCATACAGGTATACCAGCCTAAATCAATTTTGCCTCATATTGTGAAATAATAGGTATGTTTATATACAATTTTCAGCTTTATAAAAATTAATTTCACAATATTGCCTATCCAAATTTATTTTTGCAATGTGTCCTTATCTAGTAATCAGTAAACCCAACAACATTATTTTATTTTAAACAAGCTATATAGTATGCTCTCTAGAGGTCCGTCATCGTTATTCATAATATTATTGTGTTCACTTATTTCTACACTCTCATAGGCATCTAGTTGCCTGTTGTTAACTTGTCTAACTAATCCTAATGAACTGAAGTCTATGGAATGGTTTTGTTGCAAAATATGATGGGCAACTGCTGATTTTTCAGGTCTTCCATATTTTAAGTGTGCTATGTTTTCCTTATATCTTACTTTATTAGATCTATTTGTCTGTCCATAATATTTTGCATCGCAGTCCTTACATTCAATTTCGTAAATTCCAGACTATTCCGAATTCTAGACTTTGTCTTTTGGACTTCCCTTCATTCCCTTCCAATATTATGGACAGACAAAAAGATCTATTAAAGTAAGATATGAGGAATACATAGCACATTTGAAATAGGGAAGACCTGAAAAATCAGCAGTCGCCCATCATATTTTGCAACAAAACCATTCCATAGACTTCACTTCATTAAGATCAGTTAGACAAGTTAACAACAACAGGCAACTAGATGACTAAGAATGCTCTCATAGGCATGAGAGTGTAGAAATAAGTAAACACAATAATATTATGAATCTCAGTGATGGACCTATTCCAAAGAACCTACTATATAGCTTGTTAAAATAAAATAATGTTGTTGGGTTTACTGATTACTACATAAGGACACATTGCAAAAATAAATTTGGACAGGCAATATTGTGAAATTGATTTTTATATAGCTGAAAATTGTATATAAACATATATTGTAAAATAATAGATAAGTCAAAATTGTAAAATTAATTTAGGTTGGTATACCTGTATGGGTGGTACGCCTGGATGGTTTACCTGTATGGAATTCCTATATAGCATAAATAGGTTAGCTCGCATTAGTTTCTAGTCTTAATCTTCCTATTTGAAGATGATCACTTGGTGATCGAAACACGTTTCGAGGTGTTAAAAATAACGATTTGGTGTTGGGGAAAAAAAATCCAGTAATATTCATAGGAATCGTATTTAAATTGAAAGAGTATATTTTCAAGAGAGATTAAGTTTTTGACCTTCTACTTCTTCATCTAGATACAAACAATGTGGGAATCTTTCAAAATGGAAGGAAGCAATTAATTTCAAATAATTAAATCTATACAAAGATGTGTACAGATTAGTAAAAAAAAATTGATCATCAGAAATTCTCGAGTGCGTCAGATTAAGGTAGAGTGAGTTAATTTCCTGCCAAAAAGTGTATATTCCAGTATTCTGACAATTTGAGAGTGACGTAAAGAAAGGGGGGGGGGGCAGCAAAGTTGTAAAAAAATAATGTCATTTCGACATTCTCGAGCGTAGCAAATTTTTTTTTATTTTGAAGGAAATATTACAAAGATAACGAAAAATATATAATCTGACGATTTCCGCAAGCTGAAATAACAAAAATTCGTCGATAAAGTTTAATGCGTGTAGCTGTGTGATACCTATATTTACCTCTCCGAGTTTCTATTCCTCTATTCTCTATTCACTTTTTCTCTATCTATTACTCTCTCACTCCGTCCCACTCTGAATTCTGTTGCCATGACGCCATCACACAGAGACTCGTTCGTGATGAAGATGAAGATGATGATTAATTAATCGATTAATTGATGGATGTAGCCGTTACTAGGTACGTGGTAGGAAATCATAATGAGTAAAAGAGAATAGAAACTTTCTATATTTTTCACCACATTCATTTGTAACTAACGTTACTGCAGTTTCGTCCTATACTTATACAGTATATAAGTTTGAAACTGTCCTTATAGGACGAAACTGTATAATAATGTATAAATTTGAAAATGTCCTTATATATCGTATAAGTTTAAAAATGTCCTCATATATTGTACAATTTTGAAAATGTCCTCATAGGACGAAACTTCAGTAACGTTAGTTACAAATAAAAGTGGTGAAAACATAGAAAGTTTCATTTCTCTTATATAAAAAAATTAAAATTTTTTGGGCATTTTAAAAAAATTATTTTCTTATACAAGTATTCTACTTAAAATACATGCACTTATTCATTTGCATGCTAGTTCCTGAGCTTTACAATCAATTAAGTTCAATGTATTGAAAAAATTTCATATATTGTTTTTGTCAGATTAAGCGAATCCCTCTAGATAATCGTCAGATTATGAGACAGCACGTCTGAAACATGAAGATGAACCATATATATCTTAATCTGACGCGCTTGAGTATTTCAAAATGGCCAATTTTTTTTTTGCACATTATAATAATGGCCGCGAGTTTGCGTCAGATCGAAATCGTCAGATTATTGAATAACAGCTTTTTTTTTGTTGCACTTAACACCCCCTTAGAAAATCTGACGCGCTCGATAAAATTTTTTATCTTTTCACTTTTAACCCTTACGTACAACCACCCACATCATGCAAACGATCAGATTAACATACTAACTTAATTAAAATTACGTAGGACATTGATGCTATCAATATATGACGCGCTCGAGCATTTCCATATAGCATTATTTTTTTACATATTTGAAAATATATAGCCGCTTCCCCCACCGATGAAAAGGTATATATTATATAACATTTTTTTCTTGTCATCATCTAAGCTTTGCAACTTAATATGTTTCAATGACGCTCGAGTAAATCTCCATTTTGCATCGTGGGCTGCCTGCTATAATGATATTCTTGTGCTGACTGATTTTCACTGACCGAGCGGTTAACTGGAATGAATGTTTTTTTTTAGCTCCGGACCACTGTTCAGTTTTCGACGCGTCTGTTTACGGTTACTGTTTACGTCTGTTTCTGCCGAGAATGTTCCCGGGATGACTATCCATTCTCTACTCTTCTACAAACCTTATGTTGAACACTTATTTCGTTGACATGAGGTCAAGAAATATGTTAGATGTTCGTCAATTTAAGTTATTCAAATTTCATGTTCTCTTCAAATTCATGTACGTCGGTGATTTTGTAGTCTCAATTGGCCCGCTATTGCTTTCCTAATTTCTACAAGATGTGAAGGGGGAAGTCACGAGTGTCTGCAATGAAGTTGCTGAGTTGATTTTCATTGCATAAGTTATTCCAAAACATAGAAGTCTTTATACCCTGCTTGGTTTGTTTATAACGGTGTTTGTTTCGTCTTTGGCTACTAGACCATAGATGCATGTTATCATGGGTTCAATCGCCATGTTATGGAACCAGTACATCATTACTGGTTACAAACTCCATACATTTCCATGGGTATGTTTGATCAGCATCAATAAAACCTTCGCCTTTATTTTCAATCTTTCTATATATTTCTACCAGTTCAGCCTGGGATCCAGTATATCTCCCAGGTATTTGACCTCTCTCGACAGCTGTATCTCTTCATCTCGAATTTTCGAAGGTCATAGGCCCTCTTATCTTGTTTTTCTTGGTAAATGCTACTATGTACTCTAAGGTTGGACTGATATTGGGCTCGTCTTCCTCGGTACATCTTGTTATAATATTCAGAATCTGCTGCATGAGTTTTCTCACTATATTATTTTATTTGCCCTGGATTTGAATGATTAAATCATCCACATAGTCCAGTAATTTTTAACTTTCATGGTCCAGAAGGAGTGGTTACTCGTCCATTACAAGGTTTCATAACATGAGTTTCTATTGTTTTTCCCACAACGGATCAATCTTCCTACAAGCATTCAGCTTTCTCCTCTTCTTGATGCTTGAATGATTGATTATAGGGAAGTATTATCGGATGCCCCCTCAATAGCCAATAAAGCATCTAAAATCAATTTCCTGTTATTGTAAGCATATTTTATTTTTTTTTTTTCGCAACCAGACATAAAACAGTTTCTGTTGGCATACCTGACCTGTACAGACGACTATATTGAGACCTGGTCTCAATATAGGCATCTGTTAGTCAGAGCTATGTCCCTAATATGTCTGTCAAGTAATTTTCCTTTTGAAAATGACGTTTTTGCTGAGGATTATTTCAAGGACCACTTTTATAAAACAAAAATGTGAAACTTCTTTGATCGGTATTCCAAAATTCAAATTGTACTTACCAGTTTGTGGGACACCAGCAGTCATACTCATATCGTGGGTTATAATTTGACCAAACTGCATTGCAAGTAACGTGAACAACGGATCTTCCACGGGAATGTCGGGGTAAAGAAGAAGACTCACAGATCGTGCCAGAGGAAGATCCCTACCACTTTTGGCAAGACGTGGGTTGCTGATTCCTCAAATTAAAAAATACGGAAATTCAGAAAAAAATCACCCTACTAAAAATATTTGGCTAACTATGTCTAGCTCAATCACAAAATGAAAATCATTAGGTATCATGCTTTCAGTTTCGGGTTCCACTGAATTTTGTACGTATGATTATCATTTTCTTGAATGTGATGAAGATAAAGACAATACTGTCAATTGATATCAGGGAAATCTATCGGCAATTCGTTTTTTTGTACAAATCGTTGAAAATTGTTGAAAATAGATGAGCTGGTAAAGAAAACAGGTTAGGTTAGGTACGAAATGAGTGGGTCTATTCGACACCCCACCGCAACCCGTAAGGGTTTATTGTGGCTCACACCTATTCACACTCGACCAAATAAACCCAGCCCCTTAACGAAGCCAGTTAGTTTGTATGTTGAGTGATCTTTCAGGTAAGATGATGAGAGTACGGCTCTGTCGAACTCTAAAAACTTGATTCGGTCCCCAGCGAGGCAGAGACAAAGTATGTGCTCTGATGTTTCATGATTTTCCAAACAGAGTCGACACACACTGTCTTCCGACAGTCCAAGTCTCTGTATATAATGATTTGAATGACAGTGACCTGTAAGAAGGCCTGTTAGACATCGTAGAACCGGAAGGTGTTTTTGATCCATGTGTGAACAAACAACTACCTGCTCTTAATATTATGTTCTCCCGGAGGATCCAGTCCTCTCTAGTCGGGAAGAGTACTTTATAAGACAGTTCATAGTTAACAGTTCAAGGCATAAAGTAGAGGTCAATTCCAGAATGCTGTGACTTCCAGTGTCAATCAATAGTCTGTTGCACTCTGCATTGAATTGATTTGTGCAATTGCTAACGTGCAGTCCATCTCGACTCTCCCTTCAGAAAAATGTGGAGAGGGGGTAAATCTAGAAGGATCTCCATGGCCGCTGACGGTTTAGTACTGGTGGCACCACTGATGGCCAGAAAAGCATGTCTCTGTAAGCCAGAGAGCTTCGCCTGGGCCATTTTCTGTAGAGCCTTCGGCCACCAGGCAATTGCACCATTAATAATCATTGGTCTGACAATCATCACATTAATCTAATGGATTTGTTGGAACCTAAACCCAAGTTTTACCACAAATCCTGCGACATGTCCATAGGGACAGTCTGGCTTTGTGTAAAACGTGAGAGTTCCAAGTGAGAGTTCCAAGTGAGTTTTTTATCATAGACAATGCCAAGATATTTGACATCCGTTCCAAATGGATTGACCTCACCAAGGAGGTTGAGTGGCGTTAGTAAGTCCAATTTTCTCCTCCTGGTGAAGGGGATTATCACAGTATTGCTGGGGTTGCACACATCTGCTTCCTCAGGCACCAACTGTGAACAACGTCCATCGTGCTTTGGAGGATATTACAAGCTATCTTGCCAAGATGACAAGGTCATCTGCATAAACTTGTCAATCTACTTTTTTCTATCGAGGGCATCAAGCAGACTATCCATCAGGAACGACCACAGAGGGGTAGATAGAAGAACAGAATCAATAATCAGATGAATTTTCTTCTGAAAACTATGAGATTTATGATATGCCTTCTATATCAAAGAAAAAAAATATAACAATCTAGTATATTTGAATAGGATGGCGACCGTTGAATATGATTTTGATTGTCAAGTTAGAGAAAATTTGGTCAAAATGTTGAAGAAAACCAATTTTTAAATTGTCGACGTTTCAAAACTTTATTGTTTCATCTTCAGGACTCTGAAGACAATCGTTGAAAAATAATAAACTTTTCGAACACTTCGTTGATGAGTACTTACATTTAGGGTGGATTTCCGAGTTAAAGGGTGAAGTGAATAATTTCGACATAAAATATAAATACGTACACAGGTTCCTAATTGTAAGCATATTTTATTTTTTTTTTTTCGCAACCAGACATAAAACAGTTTCTGTTGGCATACCTGACCTGTACAGACGACTATATTGAGACCTGGTCTCAATATAGTCATCTGTTAGTCAGAGCTATGTCCCTAATATGTCTGTCAAGTAATTTTCCTTTTGAAAATGACGTTTTTGATGAGGATTATTTCAAGGACCACTTTTATAAAACAAAAATGTGAAACTTCTTTGATCGGTATTCCAAAATTCAAATTGTACTTACCAGTTTGTGGGACACCAGCAGTCATACTCATATCGTGGGTTATAATTTGACCAAACTGCATTGCAAGTAACGTGAACAACGGATCTTCCACGGGAATGTCGGGGTAAAGAAGAAGACTCACAGATCGTGCCAGAGGAAGATCTCTACCACTTTTGGCAAGACGTGGGTTGCTGATTCCTCAAATTAAAAAATACGGAAATTCAGAAAAAAATCACCCTAAAAATATTTGGCTAACTATGTCTAGCTCAATCACAAAATGAAAATCATTAGGTATCATGCTTTCAGTTTCGGGTTCCACTGAAATTTGTACGTATGATAATCATTTTCTTGAATGTGATGAAGATAAAGACAATACTGTCAATTGATATCAGGGAAATCTATCGGCAATTCGTTTTTTTGTACAAATCGTTGAAAATAGATGATCTGGTAAGGAAAACATGTTAGGTTAGGTCCGAAATGAGTGGGTCTATTCGACACCTCACCGCAACCCGTAAGGGTTTATTGTGGCTCACACCTATTCACACTCGACCAAATAAACCCAGCTCCTTAACGAAGCCAGTTAGTTTGTATGTTGAGTAATCTTTCAGGTAAGATGATGAGAGTACGGCTCTGTCGAACTCTAAAAACTTGATTCGGTCCCCAGCGAGGCAGACACAAAGTATGTGCTCTGCTGTTTCATGATTTTCCAAACAGAGTCGACACACACTGTCTTCCGACAGTCCAAGTCTCTGTATATAATGATTTGAATGACAGTGACCTGTAAGAAGGCCTGTTAGACATCGTAGAACCGGAAGGTGTTTTTGATCCATGTGTGAACAAACAACTACCTGCTCTTAATATTATGTTCTCCCGGAGGATCCAGTCCTCTCTAGTCGGGAAGAGTACTTTATAAGACAGTTCATAGTTAACAGTTCAAGGCATAAAGTAGAGGTCATTTCCAGAATGCTGTGACTTCCAGTGTCAATCAATAGTCTGTTGCACTCTGCATTGAATTGATTTGTGCAATTGCTAACGTGTAGTCCATCTCGACTCTCCCTTCAGAAAAATGTGGAGAGGGGGTAAATCTAGAAGGATCTCCATGGCCGCTGACGGCCGCTGATGGCACCACTGATGGCCAGAAAAGCATGTCTCTGTAAGCCAGAGAGCTTCGCCTGGGCCATTTTCTGTAGAGCCTTCGGCCACCAGGCAATTGCACCATTAATAATCATTGGTCTGACAATCATCACATTAATCTAATGGATTTGTTGGGACCTAAACCCAAGTTTTACTACAAATCCTGCGACATGTCCATAGGGACAGTCTGGCTTTGTGTAAAACGTTTTCCAAGTGAGAGTTCCAAGTGAGTTTTTTATCATAGACAATGCCAAGATATTTCACATCCGTTCCAAATGGATTGACCTCACCAAGGAGGTTGAGTGGCGTTAGTAAGTCCAATTTTCTCCTCCTGGTGAAGGGAATTATTGGTGCCTGCTTCCTCAGGCACCAACTGTGAACAACGTCCATCGTGCTTTGGAGGATATTACAAGCTATCTTTCCAATGGGGACTTTGCCAAGATGACAAGGTCATCTGCATAAACTTGACAATCTACTTTTTTCTATCGAGGGCATCTAGCAGACTATCCATCAGGAGCGACCACAGAGGGGTAGATAGTAACCCACCTCGAGCGCAGCCTCTAGTGATAGCTCTTCCTGTCTTTCATCATGGAACAGAATCAATAATCAGATGAATTTTCTTCTGAAAACTATGAGATTTATGATATGCCTTCTATATCAAAGAAAAAAAATATAACAATCTAGTATATTTGAATAGGATGGCGACCGTTGAATATGATTTTGATTGTCAAGTTAAAGAAAATTTGGTCAAAATGTTGAAAAAAACCAATTTTTAAATTGTCGACGTTTCAAAACTTTATTGTTACATCTTCAGGACTCTGAAGACAATCGTTGAAAAATAATAAACTTTTCGAACACTTCGTTGATGAGTACTTACATTTAGGGTGGATTTCCGAGTTAAAGGGTGAAGTGAATAATTTCGACATAAAATATAAATACGTACACAGGTTCCTGAAAGACGTTGACACAGACACGAAGGAATCAACAATCTGAACTGTCTGTAAATCGTTCTTTATAATTCAATAAAAGCCCATGAACGAAATGAGAATTGTATTTGGAAAAAGCAGTCGGTTAATGATTCCAAAGTTAGTTATTGTTTGATTTTTTCTATTAGATTGAAATATGAGGTTTGTAAGTTTTCAATATCCGACCTTTTGTTAACGCATTTTGTTCCATGTTTTGTTGTTTCAATCATTTCGTTTAGGAGTCTTTTTTTAGTATCGTCTGTTGTCCTATAATACTGACTGACTCAAAATCAAAAGTATGAAGGGACGATTTGCAATGTTCTGCAAGGCTAGTAGGATTCTTCATTGTTTTTAGTGGGTTGTGTATATTTTTACAATCCCTGCTATNATAGGAAATCACAGGAATGTAGAGAAGGAGGTCGACCAATGATTTATATGGAAATATAGAGGAATTTAGAGAAGGGCGTTGACCGATGATTTATATGGATGACATTTATATCAATCGTGAACAGTTTCAAAAAGGTGAAACGACAATTCATACGAAAGGCTGCATGCAACATTTTTTTTTGCTTTTCCTGAGTGTTTTATCAAGTGAAGCGTTTTTTTTGAGTGTATCGAGTTTAAAAATCAACTTTCATCCATCCTGTTTCAGGAATGAATAATTTAGGAATTCAGATTATTATGTGAGTGATAAACTGATACAAAAAACTCATTCATTCATTTCATGTTCATTTAGATGAGTTAGTGAAATATCTTTTATTATTTTAATGTTAATTGATTAATTCCTAAACGCAGGTACATATTTTTAACATTAATTAGATAGAAAAAATTCAAGTACAAATCGTAAAAATATTTGAAAAATTAATGAAAAGGTGAATTTTAGTTAGTTAAGACACGCCTGAGAAAAGATATTATTGCGTGTTGCAATTTTGTAAATTAGGTTCTGAAAATCTCACAATGAAGTATTTTTTGAAAAGTTTTTTCAACGAAACCCCTTTTTTGCATAGCTATTTGCAAATCTTTGTTAACTTCATCATTTTCAGCAACAGTTAAAAAAGTTGCTCTTTTGCATTCAGGTTTGAATAAATACACTCACGTAATATACAATACTTTTTTGGGACTTTTTCATCCTTCATACAACCACAACATAGGCAGTTGAATACAAAAAACCAAAATATAATTGAAATTTCAAACCACTCACAAAAAAAATCTTGAATTGATGGTGATTTCTAGCAGGCACCACATTTTATATATCTCGTGAAGTCACGCCCCTTGTTGTTCCGCTTCCTGGAGGTTGTTTCTCCAGCAAATAATTCACTAATAAATTGTTTTTTACCAATATTCTGGAAATTTCATCTCAAATCCATTTTTAGAATTAACAGAAAGAAAATGAATCTGTTCAATGAGTATCGGCTGGTATATTGAATCACTTGTAGTTCAAATTATCTCCTTTGATTATTTCTCCACCACCAAACCATTTTAACGGAATACGGAGTCGCCAATACAATATTCCTTTAAGATTCATCAATGCAAATTGATGTTGAATATTGAGAAGAGTGGGAAGTCGATCCTTAATCATATTGTATTATGAACTTCCTCCTGAGAATCTTCAATATCACTGACAAAGAAATCCTTTTTATCAAAGACTTTTCATTCATTTCTTTATAATTCAAACGGTTGATTTATGACAAAATCACAAGTAATTGCAAGCAGTTTTATATTTGAGTCATATTTGTTTTTAGTAGATTTTAAATGACAGAAGCAGATGGCGATTAATCAATTTGACATATCGTCACTATAATATCACTCAAGTTAATTGATGCGAGAATTTGTTTTTAACGACCCACACGTAGAAAAACAAACTTATCAGAAGGTGAAAGTGTATGATGGTAGATTTTCGAATTCGTTCAAATCAATTTCATCACATTGAATTTTTATCGCCTGTATAATTAAATTGAGGAAACATCTCATTCAGTATTTCTCCAATAAATCATTCGGCTGCTGAAACTTAGCCGACGTATGCTTTCTATTAGCATATGATTATAAAATCAAGAGAATATTTCAAACTTGAATGATGCGGCCATGAACTCACTTTAAGTATTTTACGTTACGTCCTGTAGATGACTTTTTACAGTACGAGTTGGTATATAAAAGAGTACTCAAATAATACCTACCCAACATGTAGCCTATGATATTTTATTTCATTTGGTGTTAATGATATTTTGTGAATATATGAAAATAAAAATGTTATTAGGCAGTTCAAAATAATAGTAACAATTTCATTTAGGCAAAATATATAAAAAAACATATAATTGGGAGTCTATTCTGTACTTTTCTAGTAATTTTGATTCACTGAAGTTGGTAGGAACTTATATTTTACTACAAGTGAGAGGACCTGAAGATCATAAATAGGTATCAACAGATATTATTATTGACAATTTCATTTGAGCAAAAGTAATGAAAAATGATAATTGCGAATCTCTTTCTTAACGTTTCTGAACTGTGTCTATAGACATAGGTCCAAATGAAATGAAAACCACTTATTTTAGTAGAGCTGAACAGTATAAAATAAACGGGATTTGTAGTCTATTCACATGATATTCTTCTTGAAGAGTAGTTGAGTATAAGAGTAGTCGTAGATGTTTTTTCCTAATACATATTATGACAGTTACTTTTATAGTGATTGTATGTAGTTATTATTATAATCTTAATTCTTCAATACGGTAAAAAATAGGGTACACAGCTCCTACATTTCGAACAAATTTTAGTGACTATTCAATGATACACCTGCACTGAAGAAGAAAAGAATGAAGTAGAATTATGCTAAAAGGTGAACTGAAAAGTTCATAGGCTAACAAACAGATGGCGATACTAGTATTGAATTTATATGCTCTTCAGTGGAAGCTAACCTCCAAAAGACACGTGTAGGAATTTCACAGCTGTCGGACTATTAGTTTCTGGGGTAGAACAGTTTGAGTGAATCAACTTTTGTTTGGAGATAATGAAAAAATGAGAAATTTTATGCGTTTATGAAGCATTGCTTTTAGGTGAAAAAAATACTGTTGGGGTCAAGACTTGGCTTGGTGAACATTATTCGATCTATGCACGAGAAAAATCAACCGCTGGAAAGTGGCTTGCGGAATTTAAACGAGGTGGAATGGGCATCGAGGGCGATGCACACATTGGATGAGCGCAAAGAACGAAATGATGATTATGGATAGTGTTTGAAGTTGTTTCACCCAAAAAAACCAGAGTTCTTGCGTCGATATGTGACAATGGATGAAACATGGCTCCATCATTCCACACCAGAATCAAAACGATCGTCTTTCACCGTATTCTTCAGATCTGCCCCCCAGCGACATTTTTCTGTTCTCAAACATAAAAAAAAATGCTCGTGGAAAGAAATTCAGCGCCGATGAAAAGGAAATCGTCGAAACTGAGGCCTATTTTGAGGCTAACGATAAATCGTACTATAAATATGGTATAGCAAATTCATTGTACTGCCATATTGAATGATAAAAATCAAATTTCATTAAGTTTTTTTTCTATGTTAGCCTACGAACTTCTCAGGCTAATTATGAGTATTTACTGTAAGGCTCTAAGAGAACAATTTTATCCGCGTTTTCATACAAAAATTTTATGTTGGCATATATAAGTCGATATAGAGACGATTTGAATTAAAATCACTGTTAATAGAGCTACTGTGTTAGCGAAACATGTCGTGATATATTTTTCAAATAAAGTTTGTGGAGATCAAATCGTGAGGTGTAGTTTATGAAATTTCTTGAAACTGAACTGAAAATAATTTTTGCTAAAAATGGAAATTGAAAGTTGAACTGCATCTGAAATGTATTATAACAATATAGTAATATATAATTGATTGTACTTTTCATGACAACACGGCTATTATCGCCTTTTTTTTCAAAACGGACCTGACTCTCTCATTACAAATATTGATAAAGCGATAATATTACTATTCAGTAGTATACCTGGGGATTTCATAATGGTAAAAATAACTAGCATCGTCAATGTATGTTATTATCTTGAATACATTTTGCTTAATTCCCGATGAAACAGAACTAATTCAAATCGAAGTCGATTACGAAGAAAACGAAATGATAGGCCCATAAATGAATTCGATCCCTCAATATGGCCGTCTATATTATCTGAAGAGGAAAATAACTCCAGAATTATTACAATATTTCGACCATTCGTTTTATGCAATTCAAAATTTGTGATCACGTCTGGGAGAAATATATTGGTCCCAATACCCTATCCTGAGATACACCTGTCGAAGTACAACGAAGTAGGCAGTTATTTTGTAACAAATAAATATGTAACAGAGGTGTCCGATTGACAGAATATCTTAATTTTTTGACACAAACAGTTGGTAAATCATTTAAAAACTAGATACTAAATCAATATATAAAATGAGGGAAGAAATTATAATATGTTTCTGTGAGAATCGGTATATACATAAACTAGCTGTCGCCCCCCTGCGAACGAACGACAATTCTCAAAAGTCCTGTGCGAGCTTAGGATTATCAACGTCTCACTTTTTATCGTGCGATCCCTAGCATTGGAGAATAAGTGAATTTCCCGATAATGAAAGTAGTGTTTTGAATAAAATATAGTAGAGAACTTCAAAATTCTATGAATGTTATATCATGAGTGTGCTAAAGGAATAATTAATTGTTGAAAGTAATTTTCAATAGTACTTCAGTTTTAAAATGATGTTAAAAAGATTTTTGGAATCTTCGAAACTGGAAATATAAAATTCATCCCACTCACTGTCTTCATAATTGGCTGGTAATAACCTGTTGTATGGAGTATTGGGAGTTCCTGAGACTGGATTTTTCAAATTATTACAGGAACCGTCATATGATCTATATTTTGTATCTGAACAGGACTCTGGGGGCGTTCCACATCCAGGTGGCCTCACGTTTGTTGGGGTAAATGTGTCAAGCTGGTTGTTAATGAACGGATATTGATATGGAATATTGAAACTTCCACCACTGAAAATTATTTCTATGTTTTTATCACTTCTATTTGTGACTAACGTTACTGCAGTTTCATCCTATAAGGTCATTTTCAAACTTATACATCAAACTGTCCCTATAGCATGAAACTGCATTACCGTTAGTTATAAATAAAAGTAGTAAAAAACATAGAAAGTTTCTATTCTCTTTTATTCATCATGATTTCCTACCACGTACCTAGTAACGATACATCCATCAATTAAGTAAAAATTGAAAATTTGAATAAAAACTAATTTTCAGGGATATTCATTGATGAACATCTAAAATTTGATTCCCACGTCGACTACTTATGTACAAGACTAGCAGCAGGATGTCATGCAGTGAGCGTTGTTGCAAGAGATTGAGATACTACTATTACAAGATCAGTTTCTTTTGCACAAATTGAGTCTTATTTACGTTATGGAATTTGTTTCTGGGGAAATTATTCACAATTTTGTTTCAATATGGTATTTTCTCTACAAAAAAGATCTATCAGATATTTTTGAAGGCTAGCTACAGGGATTCATGCCGCCCATTATTTGTTAAGCAGAAAATTCTGAATTTAGTATGTCTTTTTATTCTGGAAACAGTGTGTCATATCCACAAAGAATATAAAAATCGATTTAATACCACCTTAACTTATAGTACACGTCAGTCTTACTTCATTTCCTATCCAACACCTACTCTAGCACTTACACAAAATTTTATTATTTTCAATAGCAAGAAGTTATTTATTCACCTTTCCATTGGTTTAAGGACGATATATAATGAAAAGAAATTCAGAAAGAAAGTAAAAGAATTCCTTGTTGGGAGGCCCTATTATAGTGTGAACGAATTTTACCAAGACTCTATCGAGTAATTGGCATGTAGCGTTGTGTAAACAAGTTATTGAAATCAACACGAAATGGCAGTCAATATTCATTACATAGCATTATATATTTACATTTCAAATTTCATATATTCACGTAGGTACTTATATTTGTATCTGTTCAGCTAGGCTTAATATTGTTATGTCTATATTCTCTGGTCTTGTCTGTAAGCATTATTTCATAACTTATATTTGTTAATTTAACGTTTTAATTTACTTGACTTTGCCAATAAGTTGTTCAGATCTTGGACAATAAAGCATATTTTGATTGATTGATCGATGTGAACTTCCTAATACGGGGTGTCACAGTTTTACTGAAAATATTGTTTATTAACTCCCAGTAATTATCGTTTCGGCAAAACTACGTGTGTTTGTTGCGAGTAACGAGGAGATTCTTTCAATGAAAAAATCAACAATGTCATCCAAGCAGTATCTAGGTTGAATCATTCTTCACTTTACAAATTGATGTCATTTTGGTAATAATGCCATAAGTTGTTTCAACCTTGCTGGGTAATTAAATCAAAAGTAATGAATATGTAACAAATTGAGTATCCCTCATTTTATTATATATTTTAATCTCACTTCAATTCAACAGTGTTTAAAAATGAAAGTTGAAAAACAAAAATTTTTGAAGATAAAAACTGATTTCTTTCATTGTTTGATCTGGGTTATTCAATGAGTAAAAGACTTGCCGTAAAGATTTTGACTATATTACAGAATAACCTAACCTAACCTTAACATTTTTAATTCAGTGTGTTCGTTGACTGTTAAGTCTGATAAGGCTATGAAACTTGGAGAAAAACAGTACAATGATTTTCACCATAAATATCAACCGGGTTCATTATCCATTATCTCAAATCATAAGAAGAAGCATCCTGTTGCTGTTAACAAATCACCTGGTTTCATTGAAATCGGCGACAAGACTTTTGGAGTTTCAAAAAAAACATTTCAAGTGACTTCCCGTTACAAGGAGATGGAGTAAGTTAGGACACACGTTTATATGAAACTTTTTCTATGAGATATCAGTAATTACGATCTGAAATTAATGACTTCATGTGCGATACACCCTGGATATAATAATGACTCCAAAGTAAGATACAAGAATAATGGAAAATAAAAGAGTAGGCCAATTTATTTGGATTGGACTAAATTGTGATTGTCAAAACATATGGAATACATGAAGTAAAGAATATCAATCATTTTGACAGACCATATGACAATCAAGTACACTCTCCACGGAAACTTGTCAGTGATATAGTCAACAGAAACAAGAAACACCTTTTACCTAGAACATGCCTAATTGGTAATCCCTGATGGGTTTCAACAGTGATTTTGAGTTCGATCTTGCTGGTATCAAAGATTGATGCCCTTGTTCCTTGAGAAAAAATCAATCTTTGAACGTATATTTTTTGAATAAATGAAATGATGAATTTTTTATCGCCTATTCAACTGAAGAAAAAATATTACAATATGTCATTAATGTTGTGAATGTAGACACTTTGTAACATTTCTATATGAATAAGTTTTGATAAACTCTTTGAATCGAGAGAAATATATTTTTCCGGAGAGATGGTTTTGGGAAAAAAGCTCTTTGGCTTTCACTTCACTTCTATGCGGAAAAAAAGGAAACTTCCAAGAAGAGAAGAAAACAATTGAGTTCGAAAAAAACCCTTTACAAAGACGTATAGATTATGCATAGAAGTAACTTTCAGATACAAAATGGAAGAAAAATCCTTCTGAAAGAACTACTTTTACATTAATATTGAATTATTTTCGGAACAACTGCCTCCACATCAACAATGAATTTAACGAAAACCAGTTTTTTCTAGTCAGTTTGTATTTCAACCCAACTATAGTATATGGAAGAATATCGACATGAAATTTCACATACATGGAACACTATCATCCCCATCGGTGTACTCCGGAGTTTCGGAACAAGACACCTGTTTCAACACCGTTTCGGAAAACATTACAAAACTAAGCAAATCTACTTGTGTCACATGTGACAGCCTAACCATAAGCATGTTGTTCAAATTGAAAGGTTTGTATTTCAAGAAAAGATTAGTTTCATCTGGAAAAATAGCTCTTTGCTCTCTTCTTTTCCATCTTCACACAAAAACTAGGGGAATCTTCCGAAGTAAGCAATAAAGTTCTGATAAACTCTTCACAAAGATGTGTAGATGATGCAGAATTACTTTCAGATACAAACTGGAAAAAAGCCTTTGCTATACAACTACTTTCATATGCATTTCCACATTTTTGTATGAATACGGAAAAGTTGAATGCCAGAAAGTTTTTTCATAACAGATTAGTTATATGCTGAGAATATGTTACTCACCTGTTCTTCAATGGATTTGAAAAATACTGAAAAGCACCGGAACTGGGTTTTTCTATGTGGTATCCATTGAAAAATGCATCTTTTTCAAAAATATCACCTCCTGCACAATTTCCCTTTGTGTGTGAGAACGAAATTGTAAAAATGACGTTCCATGTGATTATTCGAAACATATTCTACGGAATCTAAAGAAAGCACATATATTAATATTCAAAAATTAAAAAATATAGTGTGAATAAGTGGATTACTGGATTGGATTACTGTTTACCATCAAATAACTTATATAAGGGTCTTGGTACTTGAAGTAATCAGCACACTATTTGATACTTTGCAAAATAAGAATACTAATAAAATGTATTCATCCCCATATTACAAATAGTCATTCTTACATCTGAATAATTTCATTGGTGACCAATATACTTAATTGATTTTCAGTTTTGGAAAGTGTGATCAAATAGTGCATACTCAGAAATGCAGAAATCCATGTGTGAGTTTTCAATAATTGTCACAGTTGTGCACTACAACCTCTTCTGAAAGTAATTTGAATCAATGTATATTAACATGAAAAAAAATTGAAAATAGATGAATGTATTGAAATATAAATATAATGGGGGCAATATCCAAACTCAAAAAACAAGCACGAACAAGCACGAACATTGAAATAAGTTAGTTGAGGAGTTTGATATGGTAGAAAATGATACCATATAGCTTCGGTGTGAGATGAGTGAAACCTATTGCCCGATACATGCAACATGCGTAGAATTCCAATTGTGTTCAATCTTCATCAAGTATTACGAATGAGGTTGACAGTTATAGCTCTTATCAGATTCTTCCATTGGTGTAAAATTAAAGTGTGAGAGAAAAATTTGTCGTATGTCAATCATTTTAGCCTCTTCATTTAGTTCATCGCTCAGCAAGGTATAGAGTTTGCTCAGCATGATTTTTAAAATTCATTTCTGTAAAACCACTACAGTTTTCTCCATATGAGGATGGTAACCATTCTGCTCTCTGTATCACCATTTCCTATCTTGGGAAAATGAAAGAATCGACGAACTTCAAAGTAGTTCTCAGGTATAATTATAAACAAGCCGATTTTCTTGAGCTGAGTCGCACTATTAGGGATATTGACTGGTATTCGGTATTGAATGAACATGATGTGAACACAGCTTTAGGTAACTTCTCTAACATATGGGAAGATATTGAAAATAAGTGTGTTCCTTAATTTACTGGCAAACTACTCGTATCCAATTTGGTTCACCAAAGAAACAAAAAGTATACTGAAAGAAACAGAAAGATTTCGGAAATTGAAATCGGTGTCGAGTTTTTATAATAACAAGTTTATGGAATTGAGATGAAAACTGAAAAGTCAGATCAGAAAGGATGAAAAAACGTATCACAAAAAAATTGAGGAAAATGTAGATAATAATATAAATGAGTTTTGGAATTTTGTGACTACAAAAAAGAAAACTATTACAAAATTGAACAGTTTTGTTTATAATAATGAATCTGTTAGTGAAGAAGATATAGTTAATGCTTTTTAAAATTTTTTCTCGTCAGTTTTGTGTTCACAACCACCTGCATAAAATTTGGATTTGAATAATAATGATAATACAGGTTAATGTAATGAAACATTCAGTTTGCAGTCAATGAACGAAACTGATTTCAATGAAGCACTGAGAAAATTGAAACCTAAAAAATCAGAAGGTACAGATGGTATACCCGCATATATTCTGATAGGGTGCGGTGAATGGTTGAAAGCCCTATTGCTACACCTTTTCAATTCAATTATCAAATCTAATTCATTTCCGCCTATGTGGAAAACGTCCATAACAATACCTTTACATAAATCTGGCAATAAAATGGATGTAGAGAACTATAGACCTATTGCCATCATTATTTTCAGTAAACTCAGCAGTTTCACCAGTAAATATATAGTACCTCAACAGCATGACTTCATGAGTCAAATATCAGTTAGCCCAAATTTATTACTATTCAGTAATGAATCTTTCAACACTATAGACAATAAATCACAATTGGACACTATGTTCACAGATTTCCATAAAGCATTTGATCAGGTTCCTCATGATGTACTCTTAGAAAAGATAAGCAGATATGGATTGTCAAGCAATTTCTTAGATTTGATAAAAAAATCATCAACAAGAAAGAAAATTCATTGTCAGATACGATGAAAATACATCTGGGAAATTTTCGGCCAATTCGGGTGTTCCTCAAGATTCGAATTTAGGACCTCTTCTATTCATACTCTCCATGAACGATTTACCCTCTCATCTTCAATTTTCAGATTGATTACATCTTGCTGACGATTTGAAGTTATTCAAACAAGTAAAAACAGTTCGGAATTGTATAGGGCTCCATTATGGAATGGAGTCAGAAGAATACATTATACTTCAATTTGAAAAAATATTCAGTGCTCTCAATAACTCGTCTGAAAGAACCAATTATTTTTGCGTATCAAATGAATGGAGAGGTCCTAGAAAGAAATACAGAAGTAAAAGATCTTGCAGTAACTTATAATTCACAATACCCAGTTTCTAGTTATATCAAAAAAACTGTAATATATTCAACATTCCTCCTCGTCGTACACGTACTACTCTCATGTTCAATATACCAAGAATAGGGAATCCAGCAAGGTCACAACTGGTTTACATTCTCAAATTAGCTAATAATTTCAACACTCTGATTGATTTAGACTGCATATTGTATACAAGTATTTGAAGACTGTTTGAGACATATTGAGTACAAGTAGTATTTGAGACTTTCTACATCTCCACAATTTTGGACTCAGTTCATTTCCTACAATTCTGGGCATTGACTAATAGGTAGTGGGTATAATATAGACAATATTTTCATGTAAATAATTGTAATTCACCCTATTTATCCAAGTAATTAGGTTGAAATAGCCTGTTCGGGTAATGAATAAATAAATAAATATGATACATATTGCTTTTTCAAGCGGTTAAGGTGCTCGTAAGTGCATTCCATTTTAGATGGTGATGCCTAATTATTTCAATGCGTTGTAGAACTTCAATTGTACAATTGTATCTCTCGCTAGGATATCATCAGATTGTTTCAAAAGTTTTGACTGCTTAATTGTCATGTGATTTTATATATCCATAATCCAGTGAATATGTATTCTACTGTGTCGTGACAGATACTGATCGTTAGACAATTTTATACTCAATACATTGATGCTGTTCATTTTTCACAAATTTTGTTTTTTGTCTCTTTACAGCTCATTACTATATGATGATGTTGATCGGTTTTCGACCAATTTCTCTCTACGAATCCAAATTGACTCAAGCGCTGCCGAAACAGCTAAGAAATTAATTAGGTATTTGGCATTGAAAACATTGATGGACGCACTCTTTGGCGTTGGTTTGCAAAACTTCGTTTCGGAGATTTCAGCCTCGAAGAGGTTTGACCTACAATATTCCAGGGCGAGGATTTGAGGACCCTGGTTGAAACTTACTCATCACAAACGGTCAGCTCTCATGCGATTTTTGATAGTTTAAAACATATTGAAAAGGTTAAAACTCTGGAAAATTGTATGTCCCACGTTTGTCACGTTTCGTAGTATGTTCTTTGCTCTTGTACAACCAAAACGATGCCTTTTTGAATGGGATCATCACGTGTCATGAGAAGTGGATCATCTACGACAACAAAAGATGTTTAGGACACTGGTTCGACATCTACGAGCCAATTAGGTACTTCCCAAAGGCACAAACACATAAAAAAAAGACCATGATTACTGTACGGTGGTCAGCGGCTGATGTGATTCACTATTACTTTCGTCAGGAGCAGCAAGCACCGGTCAAGAGAAGATGTCCGATCCTACGCGCCCGTCCGCGCGTTCCAGTAATCATTGTCCGAAAAAAACTTATATTGTTGTTATTATCGTTATTATTATTATTATTCATATAATTGCAGATTTCTCATTTTTATACTATAAAATCATTCTATTTGTTTTTCTGCGGTTTGGGCTGTAACTAATCACTAAATGTGCGATAGCCATAAATGAATTGATCCCAACCTGCATTTTGAATTTAAAAACCTCTCAAGGTATCACTCAGCTGAATTGGGTCAAGCTATTGAAGCGACACGAAGATATGATAACTAATTTTTTGATAAAAATTAACCCTTTATTGAAATCGTATTTTCAATAACAGAGATTAGGAAAAGAAAACTATAAAAATAGGATTCATAATTCATTGAAAACATCATACATTGAAGCACTACTTCCCGATTATTTTCAGGAGTAGTTTTCCGTAAAGGAGAATTACCTTGAATTCCATTAGTTCGGGCGTACATTGTCTAATATGATATAGAATGATCTGAAATTCCTATATCAATCAATAAAATTGAAATGAATAGCTGAAAATAACAATTATTTTAAGCAAAAAACCCTGAAATGAAATCACAATGAAATTAAATACAAATAACAGTTGCAAATGGAACCATACAAAAATAGATGAAAATCAAACATTTCAATTCAAATTATTTCACGACGTTTCGATTGTTACGTAACATCAAGTGGTCCCAAGCTGAGATCATTCACAGGGAGGAATCAAGCTAGCGTAGAAATACGCAACATATGGAAACCCATAATTAAGCGTAATCCAAATACTCAGAACCTGTTAAATCGGTTATGCTGAGAGGGGGGGAAATGTGATAGGTGAAAGCACTCGCATGACCTATGAATAGTAATCTATCGGAGGAATAAGTCCAGTCATCACCCGAAGATGATTGTGGATACTAACAATCGAAACGTCGTGAAGTAACTTGCCTCTTTTTGATTTTCATTTATTTTTGTATGGTTCAATTTGCAATTGTTGCTTGTATTTAATGCCATTGTGACTTCATTTTCAGGGTTTGTTTGCTTAATATAATTGATATTTTCAGCTACTTGATGCTATGTAACAATCAAAACGTCGTGAAGTAACTTGGCTTGACATCTAATAATTTTCATTTCTTTCTGTATTGCCCAAATTTCAGTTGTTGCTTGTATTTTATTGAATTAATATTTCATGTCAGGGTTTTTTGCTTGATATAATTGTTAATTTCAGCTATCCATTTCAATCATATAGACTCTTCCAAGGATTTCAAATCATTTCATACCATATTAGAAAATGGAAGTCCGAACTAATGAAATGCATCATGAAACATTGTCTCAACTACATTCAAACGAGAATCACCTTTAAACTGTAAAACGTTTTTTTAGTAGTATGAATGGATATAATTCTGCAAATAATTCTGTCTACAGAAAAATATCACTTGCCTTTTAAATAGTGACACGTCTAAATATCCTAAAAGACAACGAGGTTCCAAATCATAGTAGTCATTTCGACATTCTGATTTTTTTTGAAAATAAAAAAATATTCTTGAAAATCACATTTACCGCTGAGTGTTTTTGCTGTGTAGTCTAGCCAAAGTCACTCTGTGTATATAGGTAATTTATTATTTGACCAGAAAGAGGTCAATGCCTGACGAATTCTTGTGATATTATGCAAAAACATGAAAGAAACCAAGTTTTTATTGACTTGTGGTCAGAGTGCACTTTCATCTTATTTAAATGCATGCATCATTTATACATATTTGGTGAAACATAATTTTAAGCAGTCGTTTGATGTCGTATTTGATCCCACATCAGAAGGTTATCAAATGCTTTAATGAATTACGTATTATGACTAACGGCAGAGGCCAATTAATAATCAGAAGAGAAAGTGGTCTGTCTGTTCTGTGGGCCATGATTTTGGCATTCATTGAATATACTCTACCCAACATATCAGACTCATCTTCTGAAAGTTCATGAGGAGTCTACTAGTAATGAGTGCCACATCAAAATCTTATTTAAAACAAAAGGTTGCCATCATCCATTGAGAAGAATTTTTTTTATCCAACTTAATGAAATCAACATTATAATATTCAACAAATAACTAGTATTTTTACAAAACTAGGGATCTGTCCATGATAGGATAACGAAATTTTTCCCTACCATTTTTTTAATGTAACTTGATGCACATCAAAATCTTATTTAGAACAAAAGGTTGCCATTATCCATTGAGTAGAAATTGTTTTTAATCCACCTTTATGAAATCAACATTATAATATTCAACAACTGACTAGTATTTTTACAAAACTAGGGATCTGTCCATAATAGGATTACGAAATTGTTCCCTACCATTTTTCAAATGTAACTTGATGCATTTCTGAATGCCTGAAAATAAAACATTGAATTTTATAAAGCCAAGAGATCAGAACGATTTTTCAAAATATTTTTTCAATAGCTGAACTATGTACTTTGCCACTGAAATTCAATAAATTCCACCAAATAAATTTTTTGAATTTCACATCCAATATTCGAGAATCATTACTTCTATGTTCATTCCGGATTTGGATATTTTTTCAACAGACATAATTATAATAGTGATTTTTTGACTGTCATCAAACTTTGATAATGACACACTTGCAGTTCTAGTGACTCAAAGTGATTTTCATCATTGGTTTCTTTTGAAAATCATTTAGAAAATTTTCAAAATCATAATATAAAATAGTTCAAACATTTGGATGATGAATACAGTGTACAAAAACTGATATAGTTTATAGGAAAGCATCTATGAACCTCTTTGAATCCACGACTTACATATTACGAAAACAACGCAGAAAGATTCAAACCACATAACAAAATTCAACATTTATAACAAATGGATTAGAAAAATAGTATATACTATAATAAAACTCAACACAGCGTGAAATTTTGTATATCTATAGAGCTTTTCAATAAAAAACTTGCATAATACATAACTTGGCAAAAAAAAAAATTTCTTCTGAATAGCAGTCATGAATACATGAGCCGTTCGAGATGAAACCTTGAATATAATCGGTCGCTTCCGAATTACCAGAAAAAAGACTTCATTTGTGAAATTATAAAACAACAATAAAAATAAAAACATTAACAAAAATAAATTGGCGCTCCGGTGCGACTTCATTGATTCCAGTGGCGCATTTGCTTTTTCAGCTGCAGGAAAACCCGGAAAAACCTGCCGATGTCCTCTCTCTCATGTTGAAAAAATTGCAGGAAAAAGTACGAAGGCTGGACATGAAAGTGAAATAATTGAAGTCAAGTATCCATATACCTTGAGAAATTCCCCCTTAGCAGATAGTTTGAAGAAAAGTGACATTTTATTCAGTGAAAATGGTGAATGTATTGTCAATGAAGACCATAATTATTATCATCAAATTCAGGGACAGCTACACATTACTGGAAGAGACTATTGTTACCTAGTTTTATAGACCACTGCTGATGTTGCCATTAAAAAAATGGAAAAAAATAAGAGTTGGGAAAAAATATTCATATACTGAAAGAGTTTCATTTGAATGAATATCTCACTTATATAAACTCATGTTGTATTTTATTTAAAAAATTTTAATATATGCAAATGAATTTTGACGTTGTTTACTGATATTGGAAAATGTGATGTTTCTTTATACTAAAAGTAAATTATTCTTCACAGTCATATTTATCACAGTCGTAATAATTTTAATAATACAACTACTTTATTGGTGAATACCAAAAGCCATCGATTGAATCTTCCAGTCAACACAGTCATATTATCACAGAAAAACATTAAATAGGACAATTTGTATATATCAATATACCTACAGCCCATCTGCTATTCATTTACTTGATGCGGTTACTGCTTGTTTTGTATTGTGAGATGAATGAAGAAACATGTAATTAATTGATTTGCTGATTTTTATATAAAAATTCATATCAGATATATTGTGAAATAATCCTTAATTAATTCATATGCAGAAAGTATGTAACAAGTTGATATAATAATGGCAGTGGTTCAGCTCAATTTATTTCAACGCCAAAGCATAGACAGTTTGTATTCTCTCTTTTATTGACTTAGAGGAAAAAAGTTGAGAAATAGTTATATGAAAAACCCAAATTAAATCCCCTTTCATTTCAATACACGTAACTATATTGTGTAGGACTAGAGAAAGAAAACTCTGAAAAACTTTCTGATAATAAAAAATAAATCTATAAAAGAAAGTCATTCTATTAAAAACTAAAAACTCTGAAAAAGTAAAAACTTAACATTCAATGGTTTCTTAAAAAAAGGTCAAATGAAAATTCATCCATTTTCCTCTACAATTTCAACTAAAGGGTTCTGTAAGTTAACAAGAGAACATATAACTTGGAATATTGCAGAAGAGAATTTCTTCATTGAACCTGAAATTGAATTCTAAATTCTAAAATTTTTGTATTTGTCCGGTCTACGTGAATTCTGGATCTTGCTATCTCTAATGTCCTCATGGATTCACTTTCAGTGAACTGATTGCTCATTAGAAATGAAGCCATATTATTGGTCACTCCAGGCTCTAAAACATCCTAGTTCTGAATGATTATTCAATTTACTCATAAAAAATATTTGCTTGTCTGACGTTGAACCAGGAAACATGTTACTTACATATGCTATAACGCCATTTGGGGTAACTGCCACCAATACTTTATAAGTATTTGCTTGCTTATAATTGCTGTAAGTTTGTTTCTTCATGTTCATATCCTTTGGATTTGTTATTTTTACCTCTGTACAGTCAATAATGAGTCTGCAGTTGATAAATGATGAGAAATAATAAGGGAGACATGTTATAATTTTACATCTCACTGTAAAGTGTTGTATGTATAAGGAGAACCCAAGTAAAAAATATTTGTAATAGTTGTTGGGCTGCAATTAAATCGAGTGGCAAGATCTGAGTGGGGAAAATTAATTCTCAACTTCATGAGAGTTATTAGTATTTCTATATATTTTTGCTTATTCTTCATTCCTTGGAATTGCAATCATATTGCAATTGCTTGTATACCTATGGTTATATCCAGGAGCAAAACAATGCACCATTTTCAGATTTTCGAAATAACATTTTTCCAGCTCAACTTTGGTCGGTATTAACACGTGAATTTTAAATATCCCGCTAACTTTGTTGCCCCACCAGTAATATACCACTCTTCAATCTAAGGCATACGTTCCATGAATTTTGCAATGCATTTTCATATTGACAAATTCATAGAAAATTATCCATATTTTCCAATTATTTTGTATCAAACAGGTAAAAGAAACTCCATTTCATCTTTTTTATGTAAAATCAGTTCTAAGGAATAAGATTGAATAAGTTTTAAATGACAGGTTTCCGTGATGGACCTGAGTTAAAATTTCGCGCTCGAAAAATCCTAACCTAACTAATATGGTCTATTGCCTCTCGTCGGAAATTGTACTTCTTGGCGAGTGCTAATTCATCCTAGGTACGCACAGGTTGTGAGTATTCTATTCTTGGATTTGACCAGCCATACTAAACATTCAAGTTCATCAAAGTATTTCATGTGTCACTTTGTCAACTGTTATTATTTCATATGAACTGAACGAGTATATTCGAGATGAACTAGTTTCAGGGTTACTGTTACATAAAAAAAACTCACCTTGCGTCCCGACATTGGTTGTAGCTTCTGATAATTAGGTCCGGATAATTTTGTTTCTCAATTTGGAATTCCCGGTTGTTTCCCGAAATATATATGGGAAAAGTTTGCCTGACACCAAGCCATTGCCAGTGAAGTATTCGTTTTACGAAACAGTAACAGAAACATCCAAAAGTAACTACCATAGAAAGCAACAGTAATGATTGGAGAGTAGCGTATCTGCAAAACAAAGGAATATATAAGAAAGATGAATCAGTATTGCCACCGATCTCGTAAAATGAGAATTTGTGATCAAATTCCGGCGTACCCAAAGCATCGCCAGTAGCTTCACAAGTGATTCAATTTTAGTACCTATACATGAAAATTGCTCAAGTTAAGGAATTGATTTGAAGAGCTGGAACACTTAACATATAAAAATTCATTTCCCTTCTATTTTTCAATTAAAAAATATATTTAAAAATATTTCTAGGGAACTTCCAAATCTAAGACATAGTATTTTGAATCATTGCAGCAATATCACTTGAAACTATCAATTTATCGCCAGCATTGGCAGTGAGATGGTATGAAACATCGATTAGATATATCGAGTCGAAAAGTGGAATTTAAAAATTACTGAATCATCCTTTCATCCTATAATAAAGCCAGAACTGATATCATCAATTTATAGTCTGAAAAATAATACACCCCTGCATTTCATTAGTTCGGACTTTCATTGTCTAATATGATATGAATTGATTCGAAATCCCTGAAAGAATCTATAAAAAATTAGAGATTTCAAATCAAATTATATCATATTAGACAATGGAAGTCCGAACTGATGAAATGCACCACGAAACATTGTCAACCACCTTCAAACAAATCACCCCTGGTTCTAAAATTAAAGCCATTATCTCACAAATTCAATCAATATTTCATGAAAGGATGAAATCAATCAAATATCGTACATAATTTGTAAATCAATTCACAAAAAATCAAAATGGTTGGCCTTTTTGCATTCTTGAAATGAAATGAAAATAACGTTATTTTGTGTCAATCAGGCCTAAACAAGGTTAGCTCCTTTGATATGAAATACATAATCTTATTTTAGGGAAAATGCAAATGTGGTGAGTCAATTCATCCTCGTACTCACCCATATATCAAGAAGGACATCAAATAAATGTAGAGTTCTAATTTGGCCATTATACACATTTCGAATCTTGCTCGTCCTCACTCGAACGCTGCACTTTCAGAACTGAGGGAGGGGTTAGAGTCCATCAGTGAGGGATGGTGGATGGATACTGCAGCCAAAGAATATTATATTTATGGTTATTTGGTATAATATCGTCAGAACCAACGGTGTCAGAACCTACCCCCGAGAATAATGTAGACTCCAACCTTTTTTGCAGGTAATCGATGGGTTCGTCAATTCTCAAATATTTCTACGAATTTTAACGTTTGTTATGGTTCCTAAATTCGAAAATGTTTAGAAAATTCTTGCAACAAGATACGTGATTAGTAAATCTCTGTCACTTCTGGTACATATTACATTGAAACAGTGGCGTAACGATCTAAGTTCCAAACAACCTAAGACCATACACAAATTCAAATAAATAATGAAAATTCAACGCATGATTTTTTTATATTTTGTCGTGGAACTTAGATGAAAGTACTTTTTTTATGGCCCCGGCGATTTAGCCACGCATGGTGTCAGGGGAATCGCTGATTTGTGTTTTTCAAGTACGGAGGGCTGTTTTATGCATTTTTCGTTTGATTGTTGTGACAATGGGTCATTTATGTATTTGATTTTCAATAGTTTCATTTTCATTGAACCTGCAAATAAAGGCAAAGTAAAGTGTGTGTGTGTTAGATATCAACCTGCCTTTTTTTAAGGACAAAACACAAGCACCACAGGAAAATCCTTAAGGCGCTCTTGAAGCGGTGCCTGTGCGAAAGTAGTGATTCACATTGGATTTGAATCGCTGGAGAATAAATCCATTTGGAAAAAGCTTCTCAGGAAGTTTATTCCACAAAAAACGCCATTCTCCAAATGACAAAGTTCTTGAACAGTAGATATCCAGGTGTACAGTCCGTCGCGTATTTCTAATAGGTACCGCCAATGTGCCAAGTCACTTGAACACTTCCCATGAAAGTATCTATAGCAGAGAGATGTCTCTAACCTTTCTTCAATGTTCCAGACTATCAATATATTTCAAAACCAAATCAAATGTGCGAACTTATTGCATGGTCCAGAAAGAAGAAAACCAAATTAATAAGTTGATAAATGACAAAAATACAAGAGAAGTTATTAATATGCCACATTTTTAAAAACGGTTCATCAAATTTATAATTTTTTTGACCATGGTATTAAAAGATTGAGTATCTCGTCAAGTTTTATACCTGATAAAGAAGGGGATTCTTCAACTTCGATAACAGTAGAAACATCGAACCCTTCTAGATGGACAGGATATTACGATGCTATTTTTGCTTCATAAGTTCGGTTCGTTGAAGCCTGAGAAGCGATAAAGAAAACGATTCTGTTAAATTACAAATTAGATTTAAAAAATGAAGCTATTTCACCTAAAAAGAAGATTGAGTACTACAATTTTATTATGGGTTTTCACTGCAAAATTTCATAAACTATCGATTTAGCATCTAAAGTATCTCAGTCTAAAGCCACCGATCTTTCAATTGCCTTAATACTTTTGAAAATTCGAAAAGTTATCGAATTTGAAAATTAAAAAAAGGAACTGAAATCTCGTTTCCTTCCAATGAATGAAATTGTTTTCAATTTCATTGTCACCTTGTTAACTTCAAATTATACTGATCTATTGAATAAAGCACTAGATTTTGTTGAAATATATAAAAAAGACATCTGAATCATTTGCCGAGGAAATTCTCAGTTTTCAGTTCACCTTTAAAGATGAAATAGAAAAGTAACTTGCCGATTTATCAATGATAAAGAATCATTTTATGTCATGCACGTTTTCTGAAGCGTGTACTACATTTAACTTTTTACAATACCTGTGACTAGAGCTAGTTATTTCATTCAATGAGTATATTACCTATTGAGAAATCGAGAAGCTTTGAATATTTCATTAATGTATCGTTGAATTTCCAAGAGTTTCTTATGCGTAATTTTCCATATATATACCAACGATGTGTTTGCATGCAATACCTCAACATTTCATGAAGGACAACAGTTTATTTTGCAAAGAATATTTTTCCTCTTATCATAATATGAATTGGGGATTTTATCAAACGAATGATAACAAACAAATATTTATTTTTCTGCGAGTCCCAACACACTCGATGTTATTCAAATATTGGAAGTAGGGTCAACAATCTTCAGAAATGAATAGCTATAACCTCATAGTGTGATTGATATCATTAGAAAATACATTCAATTCATACTTTTATTTTATTTATTTTATTCATTTGTCCGAGAACAAGTCGTAGGTGGAATCAATGTATTTGGAGTAAATTATAATGAATATTCAGCATAATTTTACAAAGGTGACCCTTGAGTTCATTTATACTAAGAAAGAAATATCTATATTGTTAATATAGATTATGGCAAAGTAGGAGTTGCAGAGGGATTCATTTGGTACATTGACATGAAATGTCATGTGTGATGTGGAAAGGTTGCGAGGTATATTTAAATCTGAGTGCGATAATAATGTACCAAAATGGTGAAATAATTTGAGATACGTGAGCCTTGTAAGGCCCATTTTTTTCAATACTTGAATGAATGAAAATAATTCATTTATTGATTTATGTATTCGAAATACAAACAGAAAAATCTACTACAGTATTCACATAATTGAGTTAATATTAAATTAAAAGGAACCTACAATACACATGAACATAGTGCCTAAAATGAAGGATAGAGTAGAATGTAATACACAAACAAAAAAACTAATTAACAGTTATTGACTGAATATATGAATAAAATATAACTAATGGAAGTAGGTTTTCAATATTTTTTGACCGTAAGCAACAATGTATTAAAAATATCGAAGTGTTTTGCAAGAGTATTATTTAATGCATTGACATATGTTATGTCGGTATCGAGTTGCAACAAGGTTTTAACATAAACCTAAAAACATATTGAACGATGTTTTATTGATCACACAATAATCACATGTAAAAACATCGGTAAAACCAAGAACATGAAAACTACGGACGAAATAATCATTAACATCTGTCAGCAACAAAGGTACAAAAACGCTCACCGCGTTTCCAATGTTGTCATCATAACAATTCTCCTTCCTTTTTGAGAATATTGGTTCATGAGTTTGGCAAAAAAGAGAAAATATTAGTCAATGCAAGGAAACAAAATACGGAATAATTACACATTAAAATAATGCAGCATATGAAATAATTAGAACTACAATAGTACAGAGTAATCAAACAGTAATACATATACTCATAGTAACTACAAAGACAATAGCAGTATTAGACTTTACAATAATATGATAACAACCTCAGACAGTAATACTGATATTGGTATATCATAAAAAAAAATATAAAAAACGTGAAATGAATGATTACAATTTTGTTTAGCATATATACTCATGGTGAGAAATGTATTAAGGCTAAACAGATTTTTCAGGCATGACTGAACTCCATTTAAATAGTAAAATCATTGGTACCTTGAAGGTGAGAACCGAACTGGAGGTCTCCGTACCGAAGGAGATCTCAGTCCTCTAGCTCTTTGTACCATTGACTGTTCTCGATTTTAAGATCCCTGAAAAATCTACTTCGAAATCAATCTCTATGTTATTAACAAGGAATTTTTGTACAAGAGGCAAACGAAGTGACTCACAATTATCAATTTCCACCATGTTTGCGGCCTGTATACAATTAGTGTTTTTTGGCTTTGTAAAGAATTTTGCAACATGACCTTTCTTGTTACAGTTGAAACATTCCCAATCTCTAACTGGACATGCATTCTTATCACTACTGTGGAACTTACCACAATTTTTGCATTTAGAAAAACGTTTCTCACGTTTTGAATCATATTTCTTATCTGATGTTGACGATGTCCCTGAAGTAACATCTTTCGACTGAGCAGAAAACCTTCTTGGTTTTGCGGCTTCAAGAGCATTTTGATACGAGTGGATTCCTGGACGAAGTTGATTGACGTCATTGAATCTCGACTCCCCATCCATCACCCTGGCTTGTTCCAATACGAGATCCATCTCCAAAACGATTTTTACTGCTGATTCAAAGGTCAGGTTTTTTTAGACAGCAACCTTTTTTTAACCACGGAGTCCCGGATTCCAAAAACTAACTGGTCTCGAAGGGCTTCATTGAGAAAATTGCCATAATTACATGTCGTGGACAATTTCTTAATTGCGACCACAAAGTCACGAATCGATTCATTTATCCCCTGGTTTCGACAATGAAATTTATAACGTTGGGCTACTTCAATGCCTTCTGGTGCGTAATGATTTCTCAGAGTAGATCAGAATTGGTCAAACGTCTTGTCCTTAGTTTTCGCAGGCGATAATAAGTTCTTGAGGACCCGGTACATTTCGGGACTGATAAGCACCACAAGGGAGTTAACTTTATCCGACTCACCAGTGTCATTTAAGTCGAAAAACGCCTCAAGCCTGTCGACGTAGTTTTGAAACGGTTCAAGAGACGCCACATAAGGAACGACGTGTCCCAAAACTGCAATCCGACGAGGATGACACAGTTCCAATTTACTCGTCGCCAATGTTATGTCGGTATCGAGTTGCAACAAGGTTTTAACATAAACCTAAAAACATTGAAAAGATAAATTCTCTCGAGAAAAATATCTGGTCGGGGCGGGAATCAAACTCACGGCCTACCGATCATTGGTTTGGAATCTTTCAATTTCAATTTTCAGTTTTTGTTGATAATTTTTTTTTAATTTCATTTTTCAGCTCGTGTTAATAGTTCTTTTTTTGTTTTTATTTTGGTTGTTGCTTGTATGTTATTTCATTGTAATTTTAGTTTTTTGCTTAATAAAATTGTTTTTTCAGCTAATATTTTCAATTTTTTAGATATTCTTTCAGGGCTTTCAAATCAATTCATATCATATTAGGCAATGGAAGTCCGAACTGATGAAATGCATTACGAAACATTGTCAACCACCTTGAAACAAATCCTTTGGTTATGTCAGACGAAAAGTTGGGCACGAAAACTTGTAGACACCATAAAAAAAAACAGAAAAATAAGACCGATGAAATTTACACTGTCTACTTTTGATTGTTTCGTTTTTCGTCTTGTGGACGACAAAAAGTTGTTTACATTTCTTCAATATTTCCAGTTTCGAATTCAATTTGTTCTATGTTGATAAATAGTCGATTAATAGTTTTCGGGCAATTTGTGAAACAATTTTTGTACTATTTACATTTTCTTTTCAAAAAGATTCCTTTATTTTCATCCCATTTCTGACTAGTAATGGACCAAATTATCTGAAGGAACAATTCGTTCAGGCCAGTCTCAACTCCCTACACTGTAGGTTAATGAAATGACACCTATCAGAAAACAACTACTCCCCTACCTAATACCACGAAGAGCGTTGGATTATATC